TCTATTCCGTAGTCTATAAGATAATCGTTAACGTTTTCCACCGTCTTACGTTCTCCCCCCCCCCCGCCGCCCCCCCATTCACCATTTTCGTGTTCATCGTCTTGTGCTTCTCCTTCTTCACTGAAAGTAACAGGATACACGTTGGAGTCTCTCTATCGCAGGTAGCCTTCCGTGAAATCGTCTTTACAATATTCATCCGTAGACCTATGTTGTTCGACGCGTTCCTTTAGTATCTCGATTCCCTCCCCGAGCCCTTCTTCTTCCTACGGGCTTTATTATTACGCGTAACAACGATAAAAGCGACCGGTAATAGCGAGTGTATATATATAGAAGGGTAGAAAAAGATGAAAGGAAAGGAAAGGAAAGGGACAGATAGAAAGATAGAAAGAAAAGGGTGAGAGATAGAGAGAGAGAGAGAGAGAGTGGGAGGGTGGGAGGTAGAGAGGGAAAGATGAGGATCGCGGAAATACGTATTTTGTGTTGAAATGTGCCGTTTTGATTCCTTATCTTTCATAAAAACACGTCTACCGTATAACGATAAACTCGCTAAAAACACGTTCTTGAGGATTCATAAATTTCAATGATATCAATCGACCGCCGACGGAGTTCCGAGCATTTAATGATTCGTGCGAAATAATCATCTTCTTTTTCTTCTTCTTCTTTCTTCTTTTTCATATCCAATTTTTTCTCGTGAATAATAGTGTCGTTGATTTGAAAATAAAAATTCGACAAATATATAATATGGTTAATATATGTAACATTATATACTCCTATGTTTTGATAGTTTCGATTGATTCAATTATTATATCTAAGTAATAGTATTTTTTTTTTATTACAGGAAGTTGAGAGAGAAAGAGATAAACGTACGATATATATACATATATGTGTAGAAAAAAAATCAATTCACTTTCTATAGTTGATATTCACGTTCCCGAGGGAATCGTTGATACTCCGTAAATTTCGTAGGAGTTTATACGAAGAGAAGTCAACTACAGAAAAAGAGAGAGAGAGAAAAAGAGAAGGAAGTTTGGAAAAGCGAAATCGCGTTATTCTCCGAGGGCCCCATATTCGTCTTTAAATGTCGATGGTGTTCGCTCGAATTGATATTCCGCGTACACGTTTAAACGTTTCGTCGTATTCGCGAGGAGAACGATGGGAAAGTTATAGAATGTCGACGATGGGAGCTTTTGTAGAGAAAAATAAAGTCCTCCCTCTCTCTCTCTCTCTCCCACTCTCACATACACACGCTCTCTCATTTCCAAACACATATGTTCATACACCCACACGTATTCTTTCTATCTCTCTTTTAAACACATATAGTCTCATTATCTTTCTCAAACATATAAACTCTCAGACTTAATCTCAACACACATACACATACGTATTTTCTCATTTATACATTTACTATCTTATTCTCTTAAACACACATGCTCCTCTCTCTCTTTCTCTTTCTCTTAAACATACATATACATAAATTCTTTCTATCTCAAATACACACATAATTATACTCTCTCATTCTCTCGTTTTCTTACACAAATAATACATTCTATCAACTTTCCCATTCTTTTTTTTTTTTCTTCAACAAGACACTCCTTCTCATTCTCTCACTCACTTAAACATATATTGTCCGTCTCTCTTACTTTTCTATTTTTCTCTTACTCGCTCGCTCGTTCATTTTTTTCTAGTAGTGTTATAACGGTGCACCGTTTTCCACGAGAATGATGATGGTGATGATGATGATGATCATGACGACGATGACGATGACGATGACGACGGTAGCTATGGTGGCGACGACGAGAACGAGTGTTTCCTCTTGTATGTAAATCTTACCGGATGGCGTCAGCACGTGCCAGGATTATTAACGCTTCGTCGACTTTCCTATCGATCGATAATCCTCAACGATTCTTCGTTTATTTAATCTCTCTCTCTCTCTTTCTCTCTCTTTCTTTTTTAACATTCATTTACACACAACGAAATACAAATATTATTTCATTGATGTTCGTACCTTTACCGTAATACCTATCACTTCTAAACGCATCATTAATTTCGATTTATGCATACAAGGTAGAGCATTTCAATCAAAACGTTTAAAAATCTTCATTATTTATGATGACAACAAAATATTGATCATCCGTAAGATTTAGAATCAAACGATAAACCATTGTTTTAATCGATTAAATAATGAACGATTGTTAAACTAGTGTCCGTATATTTCTATAAAATAATTATTTAATATTTAATCACATATAGAATATATATATATATAATGTTTTTTAACGTGACAAAAATAATACATAAGATATTTTTAGTATTCCTATATCTTGAAAGCGAACGAATGATGGTTGAAAAGTGATAGGGTTGAAGAAGAAGAAGAAATAGTGCGTAGGTGGTAGTAGTGGGTGGCGATGAAGGGAGAGGGGGGGGCGGGGGAGGACGGGTAAGCTTTAAACGGAATACGTAGATCGTTGATGCCACGAATCCTTTCCTCGAGCGATCGTGTCTCGCCATAGTGACTATTCGTAACGAAATGGAAAATGTCGGGTACTCGCGTGTATCGTTGTGGAACATTTTCAAATATACTATTTTCATCGACGTATAGAAACGTTTCTGCGTTCGCGGAAAGAAGAACGAAATGAAAATCCTTTTCGATTTACATTTCACCGATACGAGACGTTTGCATTTCGTGAAGAATAAAACGGTCCGTCGAAGCTGAAACCGTTTTTCGCATCGAGACGTCCGTCGAGACGTTTCTCTTCCTCTTCCTCGTCATCGTTGTTGTCGTCGTCTTCTTCTTCTTCGTTGTATTTTCCAACTATAATACTAGTCATAGTTCGGATAAACGCGAATAGAGCAGTGAACATCCGCGAACGAATTACTTCTACGCGTTTCTTTCCTTCTTTTTGGTTTTCTCTTCCTCGTCTAACAACTCTTCTATAAGACGAAAACATCTTTTACTTTTAGATATTTTTCCGCTTGGTAAAAGTAGAACGATCTACTTTCGTTCTTCCGGAAGGAGAACGAAAGGAGGAATATGGTTCCCGTTTTAAAAGGTAACTTTGTTATTTCGTTACAAAATCCTCGTATCGATATTTTACCAACAATATTATATCCAAGCGTTATTGCATCTAACATAAAATCATATCGGTTTTATCTATTCATGAAAAATACTTTTAGAAATGTATCTTTTATATTTTAATTTTATAATTAAATCTTGACGGAGTATCCAAGATTTTGATAAGATTTTCTTTTCGTAGTTGAAATATGTGAACGTTTTTTTGCAACAACCGGCGCCACTTAATATATGCATTTATTTTACATTGAATGTCAATTCTTCAATTTTCTGTTGTATAACTCGTTCTATAGGTATAATCAAATATCCATGTCACGAAAATGAAACCTCTTGCCGAATACAATTTCAAGTTTGAAGTCTTCCTTATTTTATGGTGTAGAGAAAGCTTGTCAAAATTTTATTATTAATACGTTATTCAAATATAACAATTTAAAATTCACTTTGAACCATTGATCCGTATACGTATACACACCTAGTATACACACGTTATGAAAATAAAATCGAATTTATTTCTACGAGTTTTCTATCGATTTTGGAAACATGCAACCACGATTACCACCTTCGTAATTTCTCGTCTCTTGCCACGAAAAAAGAAAAAAAAAGAAACCACCAAAGAAATTTTCTCGTACGTTCACCCACCCCTTCGCACGCTTCGAAAAGCTCCTCCTAACACCAAAACGGTTCGGCTCTAATTGCGTTTCCCGCTTGGACCTAACAGGGACCTTCGTCGTTCCCTTTTCGTCCTTACGGTACAGTCATTTCTCTTTACCTTTCTAGCGAGCTCTTTTATATACAGGGTGGTCCCTTTAAACAGCTATGCGAGCTAATATCCTTCAACGAGTGAAGAAAAAAAAAAAAAAAAAGAAAAAAAGCATAGAGGAGGAAGAAAAAAATCAAGTTATCAAGGAAAAGTAAGAGATATTTTCTAACGAGGATGTATCTTTTTTACTGAGAAAACTTTCGGGGATAAAGAACAAGTGGGAAGGAGAGAGAATTCGTTAAGGACCGAATTAATTATAAGTTTGGAGATACTATATTACTTATGAAAGGATGAAACGTCTAACTTTATGATTTTGATTATCTCCATTTTTACGTGAAACTGTTGAGTAATTCTTTTTCTTTTTTTCTTTTTTTTTTTTATTCTTTTTAATGACGATAATGCGATTCTCTTCATGAATTACTTTTTTATAAATACAATTGATCGCGTGCTTGAAAATTAAATTGGTATAGAAAAAAAATAACGATGATGATGATGATGATTATTAATTCACCTTAATTAAAAAAAGACTTAAAAATATATTACAATAATAAGAAAAATCATGCATACATTTAATAGATAATATTTATCTAGCACAAAGAGAATATTGAAACAAATTAAATTGCAATAATTATACGATTACTTTATCTATAAAAAAAAAAGATAATTATTTATGCGAATTCGATATTGTATGGGATTAAGAAAATAACATTGGAGCTTGATCGAATGAATTCAATCGTCGTTTAGGGATTACGTCTTTTTCTCTTCTCTCTGTTACAGAGATCGACGTAAAAAAAAAACGAAAAAAAGGTAAAACATTTTTCGAAGTTAGTTCCAATCGCGGAGGAGTTTCTAAGGCGTCGCATCTAAAAGAAATTAATCTATTAGATTCGATCAAACGACGACTAGGCGAACACCTATCGAATCGGTTAGCCATCATCGTACTACGTATCTTTCCTTTTATTTTTTTTTTTTTCCAAGTGTTGGAGAGAGAGTCTTTGCCTCTGGCTTTCGCATGCTTATCGATCGATCCTCTCAACCTTTTCTCTCATTCTCCATTTATTTTTCTCTTTCATTCATGTTACGCCCCCGCAATCCCCATCCATGTTTCCGATCTTCTCATCCTCTCTCTTTCTCTCTTTCAATAGAATGGCAAGAAGCGCGAATACGAACCGAATTGCTCGACCGTTTTCTCCAACTCCCCTCCCCCATTTTACTTTTCTTCTTTACTTCGAACCACCTTTCGAGGATTTTAAGGGATATCCTTAATTGATTTAAGAAATAAATCACTATATTGAATTCGTCGAATGTATAGTAACGACACAAGTCTTTTTTTTTAATACTTCAATCAATGTATATATTTTCTATCGAATGATTTTTAATCAAATCGGAAAGTATAATAATTTAGTCATTATATATAGATGGCGACAATTAGTAACGCTCATTAGAAGAATCGTTAGTAGTCTTATTAACGTTTGTAAAAGAAAAGAAAGAAAAAAAAAAGAAAAATGATATCAAACGGAAATGAACGATTACCGGTTGATGCATTTTAACGTACGATTGCTATTGTAAAAGCAACTACCCCCGTGTAAAAATAATTGCAGGGGAAAATGGTTATTAGAGAGAGAGAGAGAGAGAGAGAAGGAGGAAAGTGGGAGGAGTGAGAGTGGTGGTGGTGGGGAGGGGGGGGGGAATTGTAGAGAAGAAAGATACGGGTTGTCGACGATTAACAGCTAGTGATTTAGCAGGGCTTAGCAAGCAATGTATTTATCCTTAGATCGGAGAACTATCCTATCGAGGATCTTGATTAGGTTCCCCTCAAATTACTCTACCAAGTCTAACATCGCGACCATCCGGTTGTTCTTCAAAGAAGGGAGAACAAAAAATATACTTAGATTAAAAAACAAATGGATAATTTACAGACTTAATTGAGATCTGAATGTATTACACACAATTTGTATAAAATTATATATATATATGAAGTATGTAACGATGAAAATATTTCCATTGCACAGGAACGTTAAAAAAACAAAAAAATCTATATTAGTTAAAACAATTATATATTATTTAAAATATTCGAAAATAATCATTGTTTTTTTTTTAATATTATTACCATAAACTTAATATTATAGGAAGTATCTCTTACATAGGATCAGTGTAAAAATATATGTTTACTTTTTATATTACTTTTCAATAATTTTACTGTCACACAGTTATTGTTTTATTTGGATTATTTTAAAGATTATTATATTAACAATTTTTATTAACGTTATACATACTTTATATATAATTTTATACAAGTTGTGTGTAATACATTTAGATCTCAGTTAAATCTGTAAATTATCCTTTTGTTTTAATCCAAATTTTTGAATCATAGAAAACTTTGAATTACATTGAATAATTATTAAAACAAGTAACGAGTAATCAAGGATAATAACAAAATCAATTTTAATTATTTAGAAATCCAAGGAAAAATGAAGAAAATTAGTCAAATATTTAAATGTGTACAATGAAAGAGAAAGAGAAAGAGATAAAGAAGGTAATGAAAGGGATGGGTTAATAGATCGTGTGACGATAATGAAAATAAGGGACATTCCTTGGGTCAAGGTCGGTGGCCGGGTGTTATCTCTTTCTCTCTCTTACTCTTTCTTGAGCGTGCACGAAGCCAATTAAGCAGTCGTAAACCTGATTAGCAGCGGAAGCAGTTTGGACCGAAAGAGGTATAGCTTGTATTCTGCTTTACTATGCTATACTATATATGTGTGTGTGTGTGTATGCGCGCACGCCTGCACTTATAACGGCTCAAAGGATATACAGAGGCATAAGTACTGTACTTTAGTAAGTAACTGAGTGCTCCTACCCATTAACGTCTTGCGAGATAGATACTTTGCGATGTTATACTTTCATTTTCCCTCTCCATCCCTTTTTTTTTTTTTTTTTTTTTATTTTTTTCATGCCTTACAATTAGACGCAAAACATAACTGAAAAACGTTGAATAGGAACTTATCCTAAATTATAACGGTTTATAGTTCTTTTTTTACTGAAATGTTCTTACTTCAATTAGTCTTTCTATTTAAGAAATTTCGTATTTTTCATTTTTAACATATATAATTAAACGTGACGTTAATTTGTTTTAGCATATAATTTCAATGTAAATTATTATGTATATAATTTTTGGGGAAAATTAGTATATGAATTATATATGGTTTTTATTGTATTTTATATAATTGACCGAAATTTTGTATGCTTTGTATTTATTTTTGATGTATTTATATCTGTTAAATATGATTACAATTAGTATTGCTTTGATATTATGAATTTTATATATTTGTGCATGTATACAGATAATAAGTAGAGTATTAGTATGATAAGAACGTGTTGGTTACATCAAATAATTTGATTTTTTCCTGTCTAGACATTTAAATTGATGGGTAGAAATGGTTTTAATTTATTAAGTACTTTTCTCTCTCTCTTTCTCTCTCTCTCTATTTTAGTTGTAATTGGCATTCGCAGAAAAAATTAAAAAGATACACTGCGTAGAATTCTTATAAACTATTATTTTTATCACACATATTGAAATATAAAAATAGAAATCATTTGGAAGAATAATTTTGAAAAAAGGGGAAAGAAAAAAAAAGACAAATACAAGCAAAATTTTTATATTATCTTTTAAAGTAGGATAAAAATGTATACGTAAGTGTAATCGTTTCTAACTTTTCTCGAAAAGTAAAACTACGTCTGGTATAACATTTGTTCATTCAACTTCCGACTTTTCCACTTTCCCAAAGAGGCTCCTTCTCATCCTTTTTGTAGTTCATAAAGACCCGATAAACTTCTTCGTTGGATTCCCAAAGAAATTGTAAGGAAAAAAGAAATAGGAATGAGAGTGTAAGAGAGAAAGAGACAGGAATAGCATATATCGGAAAACTGTAATCTCGGTTCTTTCGAGATTCGCCGGAAGTCGATACCCTTGGGCATATCGAGGAGCGTTCGCTTTGTCCGACAAATAATGGAAGAGCAAACCGGAGGCGTTCGTTGGAATTAAAACGAAAGGTTCAAGATATTCGGTATGGTCCTTTACGATGAAAGAGAACTATGGCAAAAGGACAATGCCTTCTTCTTCTTCTTCCTTCTTCTTACCTTCCTATCATTTTTTTCTCATTTTTTTTCCTTCCCCCATTATTATTCATTTTTTACATTCACACAAAGTGATACAAGTAACGAGGAAAGACCAAAGAAAAATAAAACAAAAGAGAAAATAAAATAAAGATTAGAAGTAGAATGATAAAGCAAAGTGATAGGAGAGAGAGATAAAGAGATCATTAAATAATTAAATAGAAATTATTAATTAGATTCATTTAATTGTAATAGAAATTAAATCACAGATTATTGTTAATTCTTTATTTTTTTTTTTTTTTTTTAAAGAAGTTTGATTTGATTTGTCCTTAAATTGTTTTAAAAAACAAAAAAGTTCAATCAGATTCGCGTTAATTTTATGAAAGTAAATTATGGAAAAAGAGATAAAGTGAAGTATAGTAATCGTCGATCCCCATGTGAAAACGATGAAGTTGAGTTGAAGGTTTGGGGGTGGGCAAAAGTACTGATCAATTATCCGCCTACCGAGGATCAGGATATTGGGTGCGTATCCTTATAAGAAAAAGACTGGCCCTTACCACAAAGGATGAAAAAGAGAAAATTCTTTTTATATATATGTGTATACGTTCTTTGGAAGTTCGTACTCCTATATCGGAATAGGAAAATATCCAAAGGTCCCTTCTAATCTGGATCAGCACTTACGCTAGTCTCTCGCGAATAGACAGGAAGAAATTCGAAGGGGGTTCTATATACGAGACGTTTCTATTTCGTACGAATGATAGATCCGATTTCACGAGTCGAGAATGTTTCCTTTGAGTTTAGTAATTCGGAAAGGTGCTAAGGTACTATATAGGAGACATAATATAAGTGGATTCTTCGAGGGTGATACCTATCATCGAAAATGATCTGTGATATATTATATTCCACTTCAAAAGATACCTACTTTTTTTTCTATTATATCACTCGCGCATTATATTATATATTTTTCTTTTTAAGATTAATATTTTTTTTAATTTTTAGATCGTTGATTAAATTAGTTCGCGGTAGAGTACGTTGAAATTAAAATTATTTGTCAAATTTTTACGTATCAAAGAACAACGTGAATTTCTGTTTAATTAATTCGATTCTTATTATCATTTCTTTTTTCTTTTTAACAATGTGATTAATTAAATTCAATTTTTATATAAATAAACGCGCGTAATATTTCAAATAATAATTTTTCGAATGGATCTAATCGTGCGAGGTATAACAAAAAGAAAAGAAAAGAGGGGTGGGGTAGATTTAGCGATCGTTGACTATGATTTTTTTTTCTTTCCTTTTTTTTTGTTAAAAGCTCAAGCCCAGTAGAACCCTCACGAATTTGAACGTGAGAGACGATCTATCACCATCATCCGAGATTGAGAGTTTGCACTTTCGACGCGGAAGCAAACTACCCACCCGACGGGTGTGTATCGCATATTGTGTTGCTGCCTGCTTTATATTCGCAAATCTCTTTTGAACGGCGACGTTCAACTCTCGGCCTCGTTCAAGCGTCACGTGTTCCTTTTATTACGGGATCGTTTGCTGCAGAGGCTACAACTTCGAACCCCCTACACAATGTTTTATAAACGCCCCTGAAAATTTTTGCCTCTTACTTATATATATATCCTCAACTCTTTTACCTTATCTTTTTTTTTTCATTTCAAGTACGCGAAATGGGAAAAAATATTTCAGAAAAGAAAAAACGATTACTATCACGAATTATAATCGGGGATTAGATTCAACGCGCTAATCATATTTTTATTTTATTTTATTTTTTTTTTAATTTATACGTCAATTATAATAAATAAGTAATGAATCAGATGAATTTGTTTGATGGCAACATAAACTTCGTAAGTTGAAATCATTTGTAAAAAATAGGATTGTTTGTAGAATGGGAATTGAATCTCATTCGATACTTGAGATATAATATTGATACGTGAAAGAGGAAGAGATAAATCTAAAATATGAGAGTATACGTTTTTTGTATTCTTTCTCTTTCTCTCTCTCTGTTATGTGTCGTTTATTAAATACCATTCAATAAAAATGTCGTCACATATATACATATGCATATTTATTAAAGGAGAAGATGTCAAGACGAGTGGCAGCTGTTGGCGAGTACATATATACATAAGTAATAGTTGGTAGAGTATGGTAATGACCGATTACATAGGTTTTCTACGTGTCACTAAAACTAACCAGCATAGAAACGAAGAAGCTAGTTCTCTTCTTCAGCACGATGAGTAATAAACTGTTTTCTCAACGCATCACGTACGGTAATTAACGGTCGTTAAAATCCCCTCGCTTTGGAAAATGTAGAAAGAGATATACGAAACTCGTGTTGCATCTTTTATGCACGCAGATAGTTTACACCTTCTTCTAGGTGTTTGACTCTGCGTGGGTAATCATCCTACGTATATATAAACGCTCAAGTATATACTTTAACTCTTTCCTACTTTCCTAACTCAATATAAAAATATATATATATATATATATGTGTTACTGTCATAGCCGGAAATCCGCCATTGCTAGTAATTTCTTGGAATTCTCATCAATGGAAAGAGCATTCAATTTTTACAGTTTATTAGATATGGTATTCTACGCATAGACAAAAGAGTGCACTTTAATTTAATGTAAAAATCATTAAAATCTATTCACTTTTAGTATAAAAAATATCTACCAAAACTTTTCGAAGAAATTGCAAAGATGCACAATTTACAGCATTGCACAATCTCTGACATTTCTTTGAAAAGTTTCTATAAGAATTTTTATAGATAATTTGTATTTATTTTTTAATATGTAATAAATTTCTACTATGATAATTAATTAATAGTATCATTAATATAATAACTCATAGTATTTATTATATTATTAGAAAAATGTGTAAAATAGTTAGTAGTTTAAGGATATGCGTATAAGGGATATATGAAAGTACGAACACATGGTGGATCGATGAATGATACTATATGCTACAAAGGTATATCGAAAAGGCTAGACGATGCGTCAGACCGAAGAATTAAATATTTGATTAGTTACTCGCGAAATAGGATAGATGAGAACTGACGGTGGTACATCAAAACGGGATTATTATTCGTAGATGGAAATATACATATCTACATAGGACTTATACATTTACCATATAAACATATATATATATGTATATATGTATGTATGTATATAGATAGGAGGTTGGTAGAAAATAAATAATTCTCTTTGCCTACTCACCGATGAACGATTCCCCTGGAGTGCATGTGTTTCAATGCAGAAACCAGCTGTCTGGCGTAAAGCTTCGTGGTCATCTCATCGAGCATGCCACTTGGTTGTTGCTTAATGTGGGTGCATAGGTCGCCACCGGTTGCAAGTTCCATCACAAGGTAGTATACCGATCCGTACTGCGAATATATTACAAATTACTATAACGTTGACGTTATATGACAACCTCTATTTTTTGGAACAAGACCAAGAATGATAAGATTTGCCAGCTTGCAAGCAAAATCGTTCCAAACCACTGACATTTTTACTTACACAAACATATCTTTTCTCTTCTATGGAAATTTATTATACTGAGTAAGGTATTTGAATAATTTGAATAATATCGATCATTTAAAAATGATCGAACGAATTAAACTTGGTTTCGAAAATAATTCAATTTTGTAAGGAAATATATATCGGATATTAATATAAAGATTTGTGATTTTTAATTAAAATTTTATTTCTATTGTCAACAACAATTTGTTTCGTTATCTTCGATTATAAAACATAAATCTAGAAAGTAATTTTAGATTGAACAAATATTTATTTTTGTAAGAAATACTTGAAGAATAGTGAGATTCAATTTATCCAGAAAATATATCTACATAATATAATCCAAGATTCTTATCGTACTCGCCCGCCTGCCCGCCCACTTTCTCAATACATTCGATAAAAAGTTTGTAAGAAGGATGTTGAAGGAATAAAATGTTGGCTTAGGATACCATAGACTGTTGTAAGTCTCTTTCTTTCTTTCTTTCTTTATTTCTCTCATTAGAAAGTCAATTTCACCGTAGAGAGAACGATTTCTCATTCCACTTTGGCAAATACATACTTCATACATCTTTCTATTTTGGCAAGTTCACAAAAACCTTTCCTTCCTTCTTTCTTTCTTTCTTTCGGCGTTGAGCCGAGAAAAGACTGCATGCACATCTTTCGCATATGTGCTGAGAAAAAAAAAAGTTAGAAAAAAGAGAGAAAAAGAGATAGATATAGTCCCTCCTATGGGATTCTCGGTACTTCTCAGTAAAGCTCTCGTATACTCGCGTGCGTGCCATTTAAATCGAGCGGATAGAATTTATGGACACAAATTGAATCGTATACCATGGTCATATATCTTACGGTTTCGACGTAATCCGATTAAACCCGCCGCGATCCCAATGAGAATGAAACACCCTTGCGTCACTATGCTTTATCGAAAACCAATCATTATCGAATATCTTTTTAAATGGAACGAACAACTATTTTTATTATATTACTTTTGCAAAGTTCAAGAAATTTCGCGATCAGTTTATTTATTTAAAATATAAATAATTACAAATCATATTATTTTTTTATTCTTGAATTTGTTTTTTCTTTTTTTTTCTTTGATAAATCAAGATTTAATATAGATCACACATGAAAATATTTTTAAATGATAATTCGGTCGATTATTTCCTGAGTGTTAAAAAACGTTTAAAAGCGTTTGGGGAAGAGTTTTTTTCTTCTTTTTCATTTCATTTTTTTGTTGTTATTTTTGAATAGAGACCCTTTGAAAATATTCGATTTCCCTGTCGAACAAAACTCGTTCAGCCGAGAACGCATGCGTTATTGTTTTCTCTACCTTTTATCAGAATGATCGATCGTGTCGTGCTCGTTCTTTCGGATAAAACAGACTCGACAGTCTCGTTTGATGAATCGACTCGCAATATCGTAAACAATATAAAGTCATACGATTGCAAATTGTGTTGTTTGCAATACGACTAATGATCGGACTTTTGTTGTAATTTTATTTATCCCGAAGTTTAACTCATTAACATTTTCTTTTATTTTCTTTTTTTTTCAATCATTGCTCTCAACGTACAATTAAAATAAATTCGAATAATTAAATAAGTAAATAATTAAAATAAAGTACACGTTGTTTATCGTTTATCTGTGTATGCGTGCATAATTATTGGATTCAGCACAAAGAAATGCATGTGAGATTTAACATTTTATAAATCAAAATATATACATCATTTTTGTACACACTGATTTAATATATTTCCAGATTGAAATCTATAGAAATATCACTGCTGATCGGTACCCATAAAATAAGAAAATACGGGAAAATGTGTATACTTTACGAGGTGCATGCAGACACAGATGTTGCGAAGGATTGAAAAAAATGAATATCTAAAGAAAACGAGAGAGAGAGAGAGAAAGAGAGAGAGATAGGGAACAATTTCGAACCCCTACCGATTTATTTCTCTTCTAATAAAGATTACGACGTGAAAATAAGATATTTAAATATTGCATCAATAAAATATAGATTTTATTCAATTTGCCAATAACGTATCATTTCGTGTAACACGTGTGAATGATAGACACACATAAATACATGAAATAAAAAATTGTATTTTTTTATTCTATTTAAATCATACATACATACATATATATATATCTTTTTGTTATCTTCGATGAAGTCGCGTTTGATCTTTCCTACATCTCGTTTTTCTCAATTTTTCTCGTTTTTTTTTTTCTCAAATTTCAAGGTGTGTTACGTCTCGTCGATAGACGCCTAAGGGTATACAACGTCGACGAGATCTAATTAATTTTCGGAAACTGACCTCCCTGTCCAGAATCCTGTCGAGTTTGCGTTATATTACCCTCGGAATATTGAATTACCTATCTCGGCGAATAACATTGACGTTCGCATTCATCAGGAATTTCATATGACGAATAATTCACCATTGAAGAGAACCTTTTTTCTACGGACGCGTAGATCATTAATCTTTTTCCCTCTATCTGTTTCTTTTTCTTTTGTTCGAAAAAAAAAACGAAAAAAAGGGATGGAGAAATCGCCAAGAGAAACGAAATTTTTGGAAATGTGATACGATGCTTTTTTTTTAATCATGCCAACGGTACACGTGACTTTATATTACACAAATTTAATCTTTTAGATTATTTTTATGTGTTTTCTATGTGTTATTATTTTTTATTATCGGATATAAAATTTATTTACAAGTTCGACATGCATAGATATTTTTAATAGAATAAAAACGGTAACGTTCGAATGTGAATACTGGCTGAGGTGTGAGAAAGAGAAAGAGAGAAAGAGAGGGAGATGTATACATTAACAAAAACATTGAATAAACCATAGATTAGTTTGATTTGTATTTATCTTCTTCTTAGTCGTCATTCTTCTTACCTTCCGATCAGACGTATATACACGTGCTCCTGCATACACATTTTTCGTCTCGTACATTTGTTTAAATCATTTATCTTCTTTTTTATGTCAGGTTTATTGTTTTATATCATTTTTTTTTTTTAATATTTTAAAACGATCAGTCTGTTAATATATTTTTAATAATAACGTTAGTCAGTTTATATTTTTCGTACTATTACAGTGTTATTTTTTTATAAGTGATCTCTTCGTGGAATGGAATTTTAATATTTCAAGTATTTATGTGGTGTATATGTATAAATGTACGATTAAAAGAACATTGATTTTTAAGGTATAAGAAAAAATAAAAATTGATAATTACGAACATTGTTGTAGAAAGAAAAATCATTACTATAGAATTTATGTATAACCTATTATTAATTTCAATGTGCATTACAATTCTTTTAATATTATTTTTCTCCTGAAAAAAATGTCGATTTAATTGAATTATACAATTTTTAATGCTGACATATATATATATGTATATATAAATGAACACACAGAGAGAGTGAACGAAGTAAGTTTAATTAGAAGGTGCATTATAAAAACACATATGTAATAGCGTGATACGAGCATGCATCAGTAAGACGAGTCAAAGATGATGCACCAGTAATGACACGTCGAATTTGTATTCTGAATTGACAAGCTCGATACTACATAAAGAAGAGTAGAATAACGTTCACTGTGTTGTTATTAACCATGCTGCATATGTACCCCTTACGCTTGCTTTTTTAATCTCTACTGCTATGCTTCCGATCTTTCTCATCCCCTCTCTTTTCGTATTCTCTTTCTCTCTCTCTTTTTTTCTCTCCTCATCCTCCTTCACCTTTTGACCCCTTCCGAATGAAAGAGCTCACGAGGCAGCTTTTTTCTTTTTACTCTTTCCTTCCACTCTCACTCTCATTCTCATTCTCTCTCTCTTTCTCTTTCTCTTTCTCTCAGTCATTCACTCACTTTGTTGGACCCTCGACTTTCAGGGTAGCAGCAGCAGCAGCAGCAGCAGATGTAGCTTCCCATGGTAGTACGAGCAGGGGTTGTTACTCGTCGAAAGGGTTTCCATCGAAGTTCACGAGTAAGAGAAAGAGAATGTAGTGACAGAAAGAATGAGAGAGAAGGAGAGGGAAATTGCAACGAGTACGTATATGTGTATATTAAAATGAGAGATAGGAGAAAAGTGTGTGTTAGTAAGTGACTGGGAGATATAGAACGTGTATGTTAGTAAGTAACAAAAAGAGAGAGAGAGAGAGAGAGAATATGTGTGTTAGTAATTGATAGAAAGAGTGAGTATATGTGTAATGTAAAATAGAAAAAGAATGTGAGTAAGTGACAGAGAATAGGAGTATGTGTTAGTAAATTACAGAGAGATATAGAACATATATAAGAGAGAGAGAGAGAGAGAGAGAGAGAGAGAAATAGAATGAATGTGTAATGTAAAAGCAAAGGAAAAAGTGTACGTGTAAATGTGCATCTGTGTGCATATGTATGTGTGTTAGTAAGTGGTAGAGATATAGATAGAACGTACGTAAAAGTAAGCGAGTGAATGTGTAATGTAAAAGAAAAAGTAAAAGAGAGAAAGAGAGAGAGGGGTTGGTGGGGTGGAAGAAGGCTTGGCACCCTTTGCACCCGCAACGAGCAAAGGGCTGGAATATTCTTTTAATTACGGAGGTAATTTCCGCGAGGTTCGCTGCAACGCGGTCAAACAATGCGCTTAGCCCTTACTCCAGGAATGAACGAATCGTAAGCCTGGTTGGTTTGCGACAGCCATGGTAGGGCCCATGGATAACGAACACCGCTCACGGTTTTTCGCCCCCCTGAGCTTGCGATAAAAAGGCCTGTTTCTAACCCCCATCTCTCCCACTCCCATACCTCTCTCTCACTCACTCACCCTATTTCTCTTTTAGTTTTTTTCTTCTTCAATTTTACTCGTGTGCAAAAATGCAGTAGCGTGCCACGCCTGCTTCGATATTATTTCTCTCTCTCTCTCTCTCTCTCTTTTTATGGTCGTCTATTCTTCGTAAAAATTTTCCTTCCTTGTTTCTTGTATATTTTTATTTGTCAGGACCTCTCTGCTCGAAATACCTTAACATTTTTTTTTTTTTACTTCTCTTCTTTATTCTTTTTTCTTTTTTTTTTGTTCTCGAGCAAGAATGGGGTTGGTCGATCGGTTCAGAGAGAGAGAAAAACAAAAGTTCTTTTTTAATTACTCGCGATGTTGTTCGCGGGATTTTTTAATTTTTCTTTTTTTTCTTTTTTTTTTTCTTCTTGGACACTGTTGTGTGTTGGAAAGATTGCGTTGAAAGAATTTAATTAATCTTTGATAAATTTTATCGAATGACATCATGGAATTAGGAATAAGAACACGAGAACACATTTCAAATCGCATAATAGTTTTTTTTTAAATGAAAATAATATACAACGTTATATGCGAAATGCATAGAGACACTGGTATATTTAAATTTGTTATTTAAAAAATGTTATAAAAGACGGTGTAACAAAAAATTAATCAAGTATTTCATTTAATAGCAGTTAAGAAAGTATCTTTTTAAGTATTATTAGTTACTAATCGAAACTCTTTAGTGTAAGATTTAAACGAGATCGTATTTTAAGATAAAAAGTAATTACGAAAAAGAAAGAGAGAGAAAGAGAAAGAGAGAGAGAGAGAGAGAGAAAGAGAGAGAGAGAGAGAGAGAGAGATTTGCACATTAGCTGATCGACATGTAAAAACGTTGGAAAAGGTATAAAAGAGAAGAGGTACGAGTGTACTTTAAATGGTAGTTAGAAAACAGGTTCTCGATCGTAATTACCGTCGCGCGTCGGCCCTCTCGAATATCATTACTCTATTTAAGCGACGAAGAAGCAGGAAGCGTGATGGTGACTTAATTAACGCGCGCGCGCGCGCGTCAAAGTAACTCGATTTCCAGGTACACGAGAGCTTACACATAAATGTATATATGTAGAGATATATAATGTAAGTACAGGTAGTTTGAGCGACCTAAACTCTCGTAGACAGTTTAACGCGTCGAGAAGATGGTTAAAAGCAAGAGAGAGAGAGAGAGAGAGAGATGCTCTTGTTCTTTTATAAAAATAAAATTACCAATTATAACGAGACGGTATCATTTTAATCTAACAAATTTACACGTTTATAAATTTATATATATATATATGAACAAGTAAATAATATGTGATTGTAATTACGAAATTAATTGTTAGACGAAATATTGAAAAATATTTGTGTTAATGTTAATATAATAAAGAGTTTTTTTTTTTTTTTTTTCTTATCCAAAATTTTTTTAATATTATTACTAATTTTAATTCTTAGGAAAGTTATTTTTTGGACAGGTTTAATTTAGATGAACAATACGTTTATCCGTAGAACGTTTCGTCTCTATTTGAGACTTCCTCAGCAACTTGATAGTTATGTTCATAAGTCAATATAACATCATTTTTATTACAGTCATAAGTTTTCACTATCTTATATATAGAGTCAATTTTTTAAAAACGTTATCCTACCATAACTTTTCGAACACTACTTATTTGTGTTAATATATTTTTTGTATTCGCGTATATATATATATGCAATTTTATTAAATAATGATAAGGTAATATAAAAAGTCGTATGAAAGGAGCGTCCCGCAACACTCGAAAAGTGTTTTCCATTTTGAATCACCCTTACCCCGAGAGGTTTATAAATTCAGTTAAATGGCACGTTTAATTAAAGCTAGAAAGATGGATCATCTCTCTTGGGTGGCGTTAACTGGCTCCGCGGCTGGCGAAATTTTAGGAGGCTACCGATTTGTCATAGAGTTCTGACGAGATAGAATGAAAGAGAGAGAGAAAGAGAGTGAGAGAAAGAGAGTGAGAGGGAGAAGGGACAAGAGATAAAGCGAGAAAGAAAAAGGGTCTCTAAAGTTTAGGAGCACGTGTCACGAAGTTACATACTATATACCATAGTATCATCCAACTAACGAACTAACATTTAAAACGACCTGTTAATTATCACAGTATCTTCGAAATCTAATCACCTGAATCGTTTCGTAGAGCCTGACGATGCTTGGATGATGCAACATCGAAAGTAATTTAGCTTCGCGAGTTAAATTTTTCACTATGTAATCCTGTCTCCCATGTTGCGTATCGATTATCTTTACTGCAACCTGAAAACATAAACAAAAAAATTCATAATTATATCATTTTAAAATATTTCAATGTTAAATCAAACAAATGATTTACTTCGCACAATTTGTGTTTCTTTTCTCGATAAAGAGCATGCCCTCTTTATTCTTATTCTATATTATAACTATTATCATTAATGTTAATTGTTAATTATATGTGCTTGAAAGATAATCGTATCATCCTGTTGTATTAACCCTATTTCATACGAAAATAGGTGCCAATAATATTCCTCTATATTTCCCAAGAGCTTTTGAGATCAATCGCTTAACTATTATCTCTATCTCTCTCTCTCTCTCTCTCTCTCACACACACACACTCTCTCTCTCTCTATATATCTTTATCGTCGAATTGATGGAGAGTATCAAACACCTTCAATATGCCTTTATGAAAGGCACATCGAGAGAGCCACTTTCTAAACACGATAGACCGAATACCTTGGGATTCGTATATGTTAAGATGAGTTTAGTATGACGGAGATAGATGAAGAGAGAAAGAGAGAGGAATAGGGGGAGAAATAGAAGAGGAAATAGTCAGAGTGGGAGTTGGGGGGTGGGGTAAAAAGGAAGCTGCCAAGTCGCTCATCCCTTTGATCCATGTTAAGGGCTTCAGGCGGTAATTCGTGCTAGGCAAAGCGATCGAAACGATGGACTTTGTGGCTCGTCACCTGTCTCTCTCTCTCTCTCTCTCTCTCTCTCTCTCTCTCTCTCTCTCTATCTATCTATCTATCTATGTCTATATCTATCTATCTATCTATCTATCTATCTCTATCTCTCTCACTCACTCACTCTCTCAACGCTCCATCGGNAAGTCGCTCATCCCTTTGATCCATGTTAAGGGCTTCAGGCGGTAATTCGTGCTAGGCAAAGCGATCGAAACGATGGACTTTGTGGCTCGTCACCTCTCTCTCTCTCTCTCTCTCTCTCTCTCTCTCTCTCTCTCTCTCTCTCTCTCTCTCTCCCTAACTTTCTATCTATCTATCTATCTATGTCTATATCTATCTATCTATCTATCTATCTATCTCTATCTCTCTCACTCACTCACTCTCTCAACGCTCCATCGGTTTCATGCTAAGGGAGGAAAGCGTAACGATGGATTATATTGGACGGTTTGGGATTATGCGCATGCCGGAATGCAAATTAAGCCTGTGGCTCTGCTACCTTGGAACTATTCGAGAGAGAGAGAGACTGATTGTCTGAGAGAAAGGGACAGAGAGAGAGAGAGAGTGATACCTATATACGTATGTTAGACTTTGCTAAAGTTCTATTACACATTTCACGTTAAAATGATTATTATTAATTCGAGTAATGATTAACGTTTATCTAAAATATTAATATCGTCGTTTATTTTTATTCATTTCTTTTATTCTACTTAATTTTAATATTTTTAATTGTAATATATTAATATTTTATATATAGATCAGATAAATGGAATGAGAAATAAGTATAATAACGTTGAAAATTTGTCATCATTTGTCTCATAGAAAATAATATTAAATATCAAGTGGAAAAAGAAAACTTTTCTATGATGCATGATCAAAACTTTTCGCAATTATCAACGAAGAATATTTTATGATAAATTGATAAGTCGATATATAAGTTGAAGTACTTTACACTTCAATGCAATATAATATATTATATATAAATGTATATGTGTGTATATGTATAGTTAAAAAAAAAAAACCATAACGATTTCAATACCTAACCAACCCACCAGAGTTAGAAGAGTTCTTTTTTAAAGAAAACTTTTATTTCGCATTATGAAAGTTTTTGAAGGAACACGAGGAGGACGCGTTAACTTTATTCCACAGGACGACCCAACCAAAGTTATCGATCATACATGGATCATTACCTAAAAACGTTTCTCTCTCTCTCTCTCTCTTTTTTTCTTTTACACTCTCACACATTCTCTTTTCTCTCGTGTAGGCGTTAAAGCCAAGCCAAGCTGGTGGAAACGATATCTTTCCTGTCAGAGACACGAAACGGACGTCGTATACTGAAATGGCGTTGATTTTTCAATAGCTTCGATCTTCTCTCTCTCTCTTTTACTTTTTTTTTCTTATTTTTTATTACTATTTTAAAATAATATTCTAATATCCATAAATAGTGTCAACGTTATCGACTATGAAAGAAAGTTTCTTTATATAGATATTAAACATTGAAAAAGGATCATCTTTATTTATATATATTCTCTAGTATATTAATTATAATTTAATAATATCTTATATAACGTCATAGTGATAAATATAATATACTATTTTATTTAAATATATACTCTTTGTAAAAAGGTTAATTATTATTAACGAATAATCAATAGGTTTTATATAAGATACGATAAAATATTATACTTAATTGTACATTCTCGTAATATTTGTTATATACATAAAATATTGTTTTTTTTTTCTCCTCAGGATTATAATGAAATTAAATTCGAGTTATATTATGTGTGTGTGTGAATAGAATATAATAGAATATAATAGAATAAAAATTTGTGATTGTATATTAGAATCGAATGTAGAAGAAATGATGGTAGGTTTTATAGGGTGCCGTTGAATTTCATAGCACGCGTTTCGTTTCAGAAACGAACGAACGAACGGTTGTGTCTGGAATTTTATGTCCTCGAGGTTCCAGGTCTCGGGAGCACCGACAGCAGATCGCATATCATTAGTGGTGGAGGAGGCTACGCGTATCCCTTTGATCTTCCTCCGCCGCTTTCCAACTGTGGAAGAAGGGATAGGGAAAGGGCAAAGAGAAAGAAAGAAAGAGAAGAAAAATAGGAAGAGGAAAGTATACGCGTGTTCTCTTCATAAGTAACAAAGAGAGAGAGGGGAGGAAATAAATAATAAGGAAAAAAATGAAAGAGTAAATAAAATTAAAAGAGAGAGAGAGAATTAATATAAGACTAAAGAAAATAATTTAAATAGAAAGAGAGAGAGAGAGAGAGAGAGAGAGGGAAAAAAAGAATAATAAGACAGGGAATAATACATATAAAGAGGGAGTGAAGTATGGTAGGGATGTGTTTGTGCGTATAGCTAAAGGTATTCCTGACAGCCTCCCCAAATGATTTGTGGCGCCCTTCGCCAGATACAAGATACTAATTCTTCGGATGCTGTCAGTCGTCGAGCTACCGTTCGCCACCGCCGATTCTCTTTCCATCTCTTTCTTTCCTTCCTTTTTCATCTCTATCCTTCACCTTTCTCTTTCTCTCTCTCTCTCTCTCTCTCTCTCTCTTTCCATCTCTATTCAAGCATCTTCTCTTACATATACATTTAGTTACAACTTAGTTGAGAAGAACGATCGTTTATTATTCTTCTTCCTCTTCTTCTTCTTCTTCTTGTTCTTCTTCTTGTTCTTGTTCTTCTTCTTCTTCTTCTTGATCGTTTCTTATTCCCAGACTTCTCTTCTTCTTCTTCTTCTTCTTCTTCTTCTTCTTCTTCTTCTCCTTTTAAAGGAGTACTTACAAAGTTAGTTTTCTAACGAACATGAATAGTATCATGAATGTTAGAAATGTCAGTGGAACGAGCCTAACTCGATTGCAAGGAAGAACAGAAGACAGTATCCAACGATAGATTACGTTTTACACGTCTCATTGATACTTAAACTACATACATATGTATATCTAGTGTGATTCTAGTTAGTCAAACCGGATGAAGACATCACACGCCTACGCATTTCGTCTAAACATACTTATATACAAGACCGATCATTACTACACGCCTACGATTGAAATTTTATCGATCGATGATTTCGAATTTATAATAATTCAATATTATTTTTCTTTTTTTCTTTTGTACGGTTTCATATGGAAGAAAAAAAAACAACGAAATGTTTATTTTTATACAAAATTTAGGTCATTGTTTTAAAAATATATAACTGTATATATTAGTTACATCGATCAATTAACTTTTCTTCTAGAAAATTTTTATAGATAAATTATTATACTTGTATACGCGTAACACATAATATTATAATGATTAATTAAAAAATATCTGATATATAATATCGTAAAAGAAAAATGAAAAAAGAAGGGAAATAGTCTTAGGTAATAGTTTAACTTAATATGGAATTGTGAGATGATTTTGAACGATTTAAGAGACGCCGTTGGAGCGAAAGCAAAATACAGAAAAGGAGCCGACACTAACGTAATAACGTCCGCGAAAGGCATATTAAGGTATCCGTTTTAGAGATCGCATAGAAACGAATGTTTCTGCGTGGGTCGAGATATATGAGCGGCTCGTGGTTATCCTTTCGAGCACGTCTCTCTTTTCCTCCTAACATTTTTTTACTTCTTCTTCTTTTTCTTCTTCTTCTTTTTTTTACGCGTACGCAGACACACACACACGTGTGATTCCTCGTACGTTTTGACCTACTCGGGGTCAGATCGAATAAGAGAGAAAAAGATAGAAATATACATGCATACATACATATATATATATATATATATATATATATATATATATATATATATAAATTGCAGGGACTTTGGAACCTCGGACACGTTTCAACTAACCGATCATTTTAAACCATAATTATTAAATCCAACATATATATTTTTTTTCTCTCTACATAAAACTTTCAGATAATATATATATATATATATATGTTATACATCAATTTTAATTAAGGAAAAAATATTATATATATTGAGATGAATTATTTATTATTATGCAATCTTCTAAACTTATCAACCAATTAACGTAATTATACATACGATTAATAAACAAAATATATTGAGAAAGGTGTTATTAGGGAAAATTAATGATTATTATAGAATAGTGGTACGATTTCGGTAAGATATTTTCAAAAAGGTGAAGGGGATGCAAAAGGTCGTAGTTGAAAATGGTTAAAATCGAGGTTTTCGGGTATGGAAAAGGAGAATCCCTTCGAGTAATACGAACACGTTCTCGTACTTAATTATTTAAACGGGAGATAGAAGCGACGTATATTAATTTTCCGCGGCTCGTCCTCGTCCTCATCCTCATCCT